TAACCTAACCTAACCTAACCTAACCTAACCTAACCTAACCTAACCTAACCTAACCTAACCTAACCTAACCTAACCTAACCTAACCTAACCTAACCTAACCTAACCTAACCTAACCTAACCTAACCTAACCTAACCTAACCTAACCTAACCTAACCTAACCTAACCTAACCTAACCTAACCTAACCTAACCTAACCTAACCTAACCTAACCTAACCTAACCTAACCTAACCTAACCTAACCTAACCTAACCTAACCTAACCTAACCTAACCTAACCTAACCTAACCTAACCTAACCTAACCTAACCTAACCTAACCTAACCTAACCTAACCTAACCTAACCTAACCTAACCTAACCTAACCTAACCTAACCTAACCTAACCTAACCTAACCTAACCTAACCTAACCTAACCTAACCTAACCTAACCTAACCTAACCTAACCTAACCTAACCTAACCTAACCTAACCTAACCTAACCTAACCTAACCTAACCTAACCTAACCTAACCTAACCTAACCTAACCTAACCTAACCTAACCTAACCTAACCTAACCTAACCTAACCTAACCTAACCTAACCTAACCTAACCTAACCTAACCTAACCTAACCTAACCTAACCTAACCTAACCTAACCTAACCTAACCTAACCTAACCTAACCTAACCTAACCTAACCTAACCTAACCTAACCTAACCTAACCTAACCTAACCTAACCTAACCTAACCTAACCTAACCTAACCTAACCTAACCTAACCTAACCTAACCTAACCTAACCTAACCTAACCTAACCTAACCTAACCTAACCTAACCTAACCTAACCTAACCTAACCTAACCTAACCTAACCTAACCTAACCTAACCTAACCTAACCTAACCTAACCTAACCTAACCTAACCTAACCTAACCTAACCTAACCTAACCTAACCTAACCTAACCTAACCTAACCTAACCTAACCTAACCTAACCTAACCTAACCTAACCTAACCTAACCTAACCTAACCTAACCTAACCTAACCTAACCTAACCTAACCTAACCTAACCTAACCTAACCTAACCTAACCTAACCTAACCTAACCTAACCTAACCTAACCTAACCTAACCTAACCTAACCTAACCTAACCTAACCTAACCTAACCTAACCTAACCTAACCTAACCTAACCTAACCTAACCTAACCTAACCTAACCTAACCTAACCTAACCTAACCTAACCTAACCTAACCTAACCTAACCTAACCTAACCTAACCTAACCTAACCTAACCTAACCTAACCTAACCTAACCTAACCTAACCTAACCTAACCTAACCTAACCTAACCTAACCTAACCTAACCTAACCTAACCTAACCTAACCTAACCTAACCTAACCTAACCTAACCTAACCTAACCTAACCTAACCTAACCTAACCTAACCTAACCTAACCTAACCTAACCTAACCTAACCTAACCTAACCTAACCTAACCTAACCTAACCTAACCTAACCTAACCTAACCTAACCTAACCTAACCTAACCTAACCTAACCTAACCTAACCTAACCTAACCTAACCTAACCTAACCTAACCTAACCTAACCTAACCTAACCTAACCTAACCTAACCTAACCTAACCTAACCTAACCTAACCTAACCTAACCTAACCTAACCTAACCTAACCTAACCTAACCTAACCTAACCTAACCTAACCTAACCTAACCTAACCTAACCTAACCTAACCTAACCTAACCTAACCTAACCTAACCTAACCTAACCTAACCTAACCTAACCTAACCTAACCTAACCTAACCTAACCTAACCTAACCTAACCTAACCTAACCTAACCTAACCTAACCTAACCTAACCTAACCTAACCTAACCTAACCTAACCTAACCTAACCTAACCTAACCTAACCTAACCTAACCTAACCTAACCTAACCTAACCTAACCTAACCTAACCTAACCTAACCTAACCTAACCTAACCTAACCTAACCTAACCTAACCTAACCTAACCTAACCTAACCTAACCTAACCTAACCTAACCTAACCTAACCTAACCTAACCTAACCTAACCTAACCTAACCTAACCTAACCTAACCTAACCTAACCTAACCTAACCTAACCTAACCTAACCTAACCTAACCTAACCTAACCTAACCTAACCTAACCTAACCTAACCTAACCTAACCTAACCTAACCTAACCTAACCTAACCTAACCTAACCTAACCTAACCTAACCTAACCTAACCTAACCTAACCTAACCTAACCTAACCTAACCTAACCTAACCTAACCTAACCTAACCTAACCTAACCTAACCTAACCTAACCTAACCTAACCTAACCTAACCTAACCTAACCTAACCTAACCTAACCTAACCTAACCTAACCTAACCTAACCTAACCTAACCTAACCTAACCTAACCTAACCTAACCTAACCTAACCTAACCTAACCTAACCTAACCTAACCTAACCTAACCTAACCTAACCTAACCTAACCTAACCTAACCTAACCTAACCTAACCTAACCTAACCTAACCTAACCTAACCTAACCTAACCTAACCTAACCTAACCTAACCTAACCTAACCTAACCTAACCAACCAGTCCGGTGTCAATTGCCGTCCCGAACGCCACGTTTTTAAGTCGCTCCGCGCTTAAAAATTCTGAAAAATAGGTTTTTCGCAACCGATTTTCGTGTGTGATACGTCAAAAGTTGCGCTTTGACTCGCGGTTCAAAGAAGTGAAAACCGCAATAAAATCGGAGTTTTTGTGAAAGAGATATTGTGAGAAAAGTGATTTTCAAAAATTTTAAAAACTTCAAAGTGAAACGCTGCGCGATTAATCGCTTTTACCCCTGTTTTTTAAAGTGCGGCCTTGAAGCCACTCGCGGCCTACACCCATGTGCAAAAATTGAGATTTCTCGGAGCCACAGTTTTCGAGTAAAAGCCAAAAAAACAAGTGCCACGTGGGCACGTGTTTTGCGAAGCAGAGTCGTGCGGCTATTTTTGAAGTCGGATTCTGTTAGCACGCGCGGAGAGGAGCCGGGAGCAACTTTCAGAACAAATTTAAGTTAAGTGGTTTACGAGATATTAAACTTTTAAATTTTGACAAAAATTGATATCTCACTAACTTTTAAACTAAAGTGAAGACCCCTAGTTTTTATATTTTAATAGTGTTAAGAACAATAAAAGGAACGTGTGTATAAAGTTTTAGATTTTTGTAGTAAGTAGTTTTAGAGTTAGAAATTTTTTAAATATTTAGTTAACACGTGTTACCTTTATTTTAGCAGTCGGTAAATTATAAAATACATATTTAATTAGAAAGTATTAATTTTAACATATGTTAATTTTAATAGAATTTTAAAAGTTAAATTAAGTTGTAAAAACCAAATTTTTCTGAAAATTTACAACATATTTTGTAAAATTTAATTATAGGGGGCTTAAAAAGCCACAAGACTTATAGACTTGTAAGGTCGACACCGAGACCTATCAAATGAGCCCAAACACGGGCCAAATCCGTTAAAAAACGGCCAAAATAGCAGTTTACTGTCTGGACCGGCGGCCATTTTGAAAATTTTTAAAATTAAATAACTCTGGTTGTAGAAGTCGCATTGAGTTGGGGTTTTCGACGGCACTACTATTGGATCGAGTTCTACCCACCTAGAGGGATTCAGGCTTTTTTGAGCTTGAGTTTTTCATGGTCCTGAAACCGATTCCTTCAGAAAGACTGGACGAAATCTAGTGGTGTAGTCGAAGCGCTGGTCTCCTGCGATAGCTGGAACCAAAGTTATTAACAGTCAAACATCAACTTTGACATTTCGGCAGCCATCTTGTAAAACTAAAATAGGCCATAACTTCTGAACTACGAGTCGCAGAAGACTGGGGTCTTGACCCGAGACGTCGGCAAGTAAGGCCGGAACAGACAACCTACCTTTCAGGAAATTTCAGCGCTCAAAAATTTTAAGTCCTGAAAGCTACACGACATTGAAGCCCTGGTCGAGCCCAGTAAGAGGAGCCCAAGCACGGAGCTGTAGGCCTGTTCGTTCGGGAGTTACAGCGTTGTAACCATAATTTTGGAAGCCATCTTGCTTTTAAACCAGAATTTGAAAACGCGATAACTTGCGAACCTACTGAGCTAGGTATACCGAGTTTGGGCTCTTTGAATAGGGTTCGAGGAGAGCTCCAAGCTGGTCATTAGAAACAGACTCTACGTAGAGCCAAATATTTGCTGGCCTGAAACTCTCTTTCTATAAAGTATTTTTAATTTTTTTTTTAATTTTGTAAGATGTCTTAACTCTGCTAGAAAACTTAATTATAGAGCTGGCAAAATAGACATAGATTGACTCTATATAGAGCACTGCAATTTTAAAATTTTCTGTAAAATATATTAGAACTATAAGATTAGAAATAAGAGTAACCAACTACTAGAATTAGAATAGAGACAATTCTAGGTAGAGCAATAATTATCTTTAATATATTTATTTGTGCTATTGGTATTATTAAGTGTATGTGCTAAGTGTGTATTAAGAGTGACAAAATCATAACAAGTAGAGTTACGACTCTACATTTTTTAGTTTATTGACTTTATACTTTTATAGCTTCTTAAGGGAACGGGACGGGGTGTTTGTGGTTATTTTAAAATTGAGATACCTTAGACATTTGACCTTTGAATAACCGCAACCTCGTCATATTTTAAAACAATATATAACTTTAACCTAATTTTGGATAGGTATAGAATTTAATTTAAATTCAGACGTAGAGCCACCTTGTAGAGTGGTGTTATTATACAACGACGTAGAGTCGGGACTCTACAAATAGTTTATATTATAACATCTCTGCAAATTTTTAGTTCTTAAACAGTTTTATTAAATTTAAAAAGGAAATTTTTATTTTCTTTTTACCCGAAAGTTAACATACTGTGTAAATAAAGAATTTTGACGGAGTCTGTGACTCTAGATAGAGGTATATTTTTATACACTTTTATACATTTTATATATTTGTTTTGTTATATTTTTTCTCTGTTTTACATTTTAGTTGATATATTTATACATCCTTTATACACATTATACTATTGACGCTACACGGACATATACTCCCAAGATGTTTGGAATTAGAACACCAACTAAACCGACACAATCACCCTCTAAAACAGGAAGTGAAATTTCAAAAGTAAGACGCAGCATAGATGACTGGGAATCTAACATTGATTCAACCCCATCCATGACTACCACGACAATGCAGGCAGGTACTGCTAAAACAAAACCAACGGTATCAGTGCTACAAAACAGTAAAACCACGCAAAAAGTGTCTGTTGAAATACACACTCCGCCAAAGCAGCAGTATGAAAATAGAACAATGGAAGCAAAGGCCTGTTTAACAAAAGGCAAGCTTCATCTAAACGCCTCTCGGAATACGAAAACAGAGATAAAAAATGGCGTTGTAGAAGCACTGGATCGATTATATCAGCTTGTTAAAGAAGCTGAAATGGAGTTAAAGGCAAAAAAGGCAAAAGGAGAAAAGGAAAAGAGTGAAAAGCTAGAGTTGGAAACTGCTGCTACTGACTCTACCTTCTCAGTCATCTCACCTCACCACTCAGACCTAAAAACAAGGATTGAGGAGCACGCAAGATTGCTGCAAGAAACAAATAAAAAGATGGAAGAGTTGAAAGAATCGATGGAAAAGCAAAGAGAAACACTAGAGCGAGCGACAATGCCAACATACGCTAATGTAACTGCAGACAAAATCATTAAAACTCCCCCACAGCGTAGTACCCTACATTCCGTAGTAATAACATCAACAGATGAAACTGAAACGGGGGAAGAGGTGATGAACCGGGTCAGAAAGGCAGCTGATGCAAAAGAAGGGTGGATAAAGGTTGGAAGGGTAAGGAAAGCAAAGGATAGAAAAATCATTATGGGTTTCGAAACAAAAGAGGAAAGGAACAAAATGAAAAATCGGCTTGAAAAAGAAGGAGTAAATCTCACCGTCGAAGAGGTCAAAAACAGGGACCCACTTTTGATCCTCAGAAATGTACTTCTTGTAAACACAGACGAAGACGTAATCAAGGCTCTGAGGAATCAAAATCGCGGTGTTTTTCACGGTCTCGACGAAGGTGAGATAAGAATTGAAATAAAATATAGAAGAAAAACAAGAAATCCCCACACCAGCCACATTGTTCTTAGTGTCTCGCCTATCATCTGGCAAAGAGTTATAGAAATTGGGAGTATTCATATTGATTTACAACGTGTTAGAGCAGAAGACCAATCCCCACTGGTGCAATGCACACGCTGTTTAGGATATGGTCACGGTAAGAGGTTCTGTAAAGAACTATCAGACCTATGTAGCCACTGTGGTGGCCCCCACCTGAGATCCGAGTGTGGTGACTGGCTCGCTGGTGAACCACCCAAATGCCGAAACTGCTCAAAGGCAAAATTGTTCCAGACAGAACATAATGCCTTTAGCACAAACTGCCCAACGCGCCGAAAGTGGGATGAATTGGCCCGGTCAACTATAGCATATTGCTAAAGGTGCACAAGTTGAACAAGCCCACTATAAAATTATCCAAGCAAACCTCCAGCGCAAAAAATTAGCAACCCATGAACTTTTTATTGAAGCTGAGAAACGTCGAGCTGATATAGCACTACTTCAAGAACCATACGTAGGTGGTGCTAACACGATGAAAGGTCAAAGAGGCGTGAGGGTTTTTCAAAACTCTAGCCCAGGAGAAGGGACTGTTAAGGCAGCGGTAGCCGTCTTCAACGTTGATTTTAACATAAAACAGTACCCAAAACTCACCACAAACAACATCATTGTGGTGGGAATTCAAACTAGAGCTTGGGAAATAACACTCGTCTCTTATTACTTCGAGCCAGATCAGCCCATAGAACCGTATATTGATCACCTTAAAAAGATAGAGCAAGAAATTGGAAGTACAAAGTGGATTGCTGGAGGTGACGCCAATTCAAAAAGTACATGGTGGGGAAGCCCGATCGTTGACCATAGAGGAGAAGAAATCGCAGGAGCTTTCGAGGAGCTGGGTCTGAACATACTGAATAGAGGGGACATTCCGACCTTCGATACCATCCGAGGAGGAAAACGATATTCCAGCTACGTCGACATAACAGCCTGCTCGACCGACATCCTGGACTTGGTAGATGACTGGACAGTGGACGAGGGTCTTACGAGCTCGGACCACAACGGCATTATTTTTAATATTCGGCTACAAAAATCAAAAGGTCTAAGAGTAAACAGAACTACTAGACTGTTTAATACAAAGAAGGCAAATTGGCCTAAGTTTCATGAGAAACTTAACCAATTGCTGTCAGAAAATCAATTTAACAAATCGGAAATAGAAAATATTGAAACCATTGAACAAATAGACATAGCAACAGATAAATTAACAATATCCATAACAGACACTTGCAAGCAAACAATGCCAACCAAAAAAGCTACAGAAGAACTTACCTTGCCGTGGTGGTCCGATAAGCTCAACAAGATGAAAAAAGAAGTCACTACCATGAAACGAAGGATCAAATGTGCTGCCCTGGTCCGTAGACAGAAGGTCGTAGAAGAGTACCTGGAACAAAAAGAGAGGTATGAGTCAGAAGCTATTAAAGCCCAGATCGAGAGCTGGAAATACTTTTGCTGCAAGCAGGATAAGGAGGGGGTCTGGGAAGGTATCTATAGGGTAATTGGGAGAACAACGCGCAGGGACGAGGACCAGCCACTGGAAATCAATAAGGTAGTGTTAGACGCAAAAGGTTCCGTGAAGTTATTGGCGGAAACGTTCTTTCCGGAAGACTTAACAGACAGCGAAAACACTTACCATCGCCACGTAAGAATAAAAGCTGACAAAGTGAACTCTGCTGAGCAAGATGACCTGTGTGATCCCCTGTTCACAATGTTAGAATTGAAACAGGCGTATCGATCCTTCAACCCGAAAAAGGCCCCAGGAGCGGACGGTTTCACAGCTGATATATGTCTACACGCTATAGAAAGCAACCCCGAGTTATTCTTGGCCTTCCTTAATAAATGTTTAACTCTACAACACTTCCCAAAAACCTGGAAAATCGCGACAGTCATAGTGCTTAAAAAACCAGGGAAAGTAGATTACACCATGCCGAAAGCGTACAGGCCCATTGGACTACTACCTATACTAGGAAAGATCTTTGAGAAAATGCTGGTGAACCGCCTCAAATTTCACCTTTTGCCAAGGATAAGTACTCGCCAGTACGGGTTCATGCCACAGAGAAGCACCGAAGACGCCCTCTATGTACTAATGCAGTTCATTCACATGAAGCTGAATCAAAAGAAAATTATAGCGCTAGTATCATTGGACATCGAGGGTGCTTTTGATAGCGCCTGGTGGCCAGCCATACGAGTCCGACTGGCTGAGGAAAGGTGTCCGCTTAACTTGAGGAGGGTCATAGATAGTTATCTCAAAGACAGGAAAGTCGTAGTCAGGTACGCTGGAGAGGAATATGCTAAAGGTACAAGCAGAGGTTGTGTCCAGGGATCCATTGGAGGCCCAATCCTATGGAATCTTCTGCTAGACCCTCTCTTGAAAAGTCTCGAATGCAGGGGAGATTATTGTCAGGCGTTCGCGGACGACGTCGTATTAGTCTTCGACGGCGACACAGCACACGAAGTGGAGCGACGTGCCAATGCCACTCTAGAACATGTCTGTGCGTGGGGTGTTGAAAATAAATTGAAGTTTGCGCCACACAAGACGAACGCGATGATAATAACAAGAAAACTGAAACACGATGTACCACGCCTCAACATGGGAGGTACTGCAATTGGCATGTCAAAAGAAATAAAGCTACTTGGGTTTACAATTGACGAAAAGCTTACTTTTAACACCCATGTATCGAATGTGTGTAAGAAGGCAATCGGCATCTACAAACAACTATGCAAAGCGGCGAAGGTTAGTTGGGGACTCCATCCGGAAGTGATAAGAGTGATATATCTCGCGACCGTAGAGCCTATTATACTTTACGCTGCTAGCGTTTGGGCACAGGCTGCAAAAAAGTTGGGGATAATAAAACAACTCGCCGTAGTCCAGCGCGGTATCGCGCAAAAACTATGCAAAGCCTACCGAACGGTCTCTCTGAATTCGGCGCTAGTACTGGCTGGAATACTCCCCCTGGACCTCCGAGTCCGTGAGGCTGCTTTATTATATGAAGCCAAGAGGGGGCTGCCACAGCCAGTGTTGGCGGGAAGAGAGGTCGAGAGAATGGCTTCAGCTTTTGAGGGCCCACACCCTGCTGAGCGCCTGGAATTAGGAATTATTTGTTTGGTAAACGAGGAGCAGGTGAACAAACACAGCGAAATAAACGTCCACATATTTACTGACGGGAGCAAGATTGAGGGCAAGGTTGGCGCCGCCCTTTCCGAATGGAAAAACAAGACCGAAAATAAAGCCCTCAAACTTGCTCTACCAACATACTGCACAGTTTACCAAGCCGAGCTCCTGGCCATTTGCAGGGCGACTGGACAAATCCTCAAGCACAGAGCGTCCTCCTTTGGAATTTACAGCGACTCAATGGCGGCCCTTCAAACGATCATAAACCCAAACTGCCTTCACCCGTTAGCCGTGGAATGTAGAGATAATTTAAGAGCAATATCTCTCCAAAGCAAAGTAGTAACTTTGTTTTGGATTAAAGCCCACGCGGGCTTAGAGGGGAATGAACGAGCAGACAGACTAGCAAAAGAGGCCGCAAAAAATTCCAAAGTGAGACCGGATTACGATCTTTGCCCGGTTTCATTCGTCAAGCGAAGCATCCGTATGGCAACGCTAGACGAATGGAACCAAAGATACCAGACTGGCGAAACAGGAAAGATCACGAAGCTGTTTTTCCCAGACGCGAAAGTGGCCTACCGAATAATAAGAAAATTTGAAGCAAGCAGCGAGACTACCCAAGTCATGACAGGGCATGGTGGATTTTCTGAATACTTACACCGCTTTAAGTGTAAAGAGAATCCATCGTGCATTTGCGACCCCGATGCTGAAGAAACTGTGCCACACATTTTGC